CTGATATTTGTTTAGATCAATACTTTTTAAACTGAGAAAATTATCTTATAATTACATGCACAATTATTAACAAAATATGTTGCTCCAAATGCTTTGTAATTATTCAATATTCTCTCATATTTAAACTCTCTATGCTATTCAATAAAGATTCTATATCCAATGCTAACGAAACCTTCAAAATTAGAAATTCCATGCATCGCATGGACCAACACTAGTAATTAATAAAAAAGGGACTTCACAAACTAAGATAATGACAATAAAATAATGGTGGGTACATGCAAGATACTATCTCCAAAAAGTATATCCACGAAAAAAATTAAAGGACCAAAAGGCAATTTGTCTTTGTATCATTGTAGATAGGAATCTCAGTGGGCACCATGTCCCTCCCCTTTCAAAAGCATCCAATACTGATGAAACTTTCATAATTCAACCTTCACATCACCACCATCTAGTTGCTTAATCTAGTAATGAATTTAACCGGGTGCCATACCCGACCCTAAATTTATCGAGAAGAAAAGCTAGTCTGTAGTTGTTTGTTTAAGTACTTGGGCATGGAACTAAATTCTTGAACAGCAGAGTGATAAACGAATGATTCAATGTCAACGAAAGACGTTAGATTTCAATAAATAAAACACTTAGGATCATCATATGTATTCCTTGGATAGAGATCACGAGTCCTTTTAAATTACACTTGGAGCGTCATGTCTGAACTTCAAATTATCTTGTGAACCGTCGAGGAATCCTGGGTGTTGGTAAAACCACATCACGACCGGATTTTATCAAGTTGATGCGATCTGGTATTGTTTTATCAAATAGCCTATTTTCAGGATTCTCAGCATAGCAGACATAGTAACAACTCACACAGGCTTGAGGCAGCGCCATGGCAATCCTCGTCTGGCACATTATCGATAGAATTAAGTAAACCAAACAATTGTGGGAAAAAAAAGGGCTCAATTTGATTACTTTATGTAAGTAATGCATTATCAGAACATTGTTGGTTAGGTTGAGTTGACTAACCATTAGGTAACCGATGAAGGCGGCTAGGACTGAGAGGGTGGCAGTGTAACCACGATGCACAGTGGCTGTCCAAGCAGCTACCACAATTACACATATTGAGCCACTGCAAACTCCAGTGAGAAAGCAAATGGCGCTTGTTATATCAGAGTCGACAATTGGTGCCATCTCTCTCTTCTCAAATAGCTCCCAAGTGTCTTGTGATGCCTTCACAAAATCTTTTCCATATGCAGCAATCTGAAGAAGTCACTCACCAAGCAAATTCTACTTATTTATCAAAAAATTCAACACTATCTCAAAAATTTGACACAAACAAAGAAGGAATTCTGTTACAAGATTACTTTGATCATAAGTTACTTTATATTTAGACTTGAGATTTAATATCTAACTGAGATGGAGGCATTTTTGGGTTTGCGCCACTAGGTATACCATGTAAGGAACTGTGCACAGTATCCGAGTCACCAGAACTAGCCTCAGAAGCAAATTACCAGAGTGCCTCATTTCTTTAGTACTTTTAATCAATAAGGTCTACACGTAAACGGAAAGAAATTCTTAACTTAGATAAGCAAGAATGAAAGATTACCTGAACGTACGCCCAGCCATTCCCTCGTCGAAAGATTGATTCCATAACCCTGAGACAGCAATGTGCACAAGAAAACATGAACTCATCTTCTCCCTCGAGCAAATTCAACCCGCGTGCCAAAATTCTCAAAGCTTCAATTGCAGGAACAAAAAGGGAACCAAGACAAGCACTCCCCAGATTGTTGGACAAGGCCCTTTGAAAGCAAAACTGGGTACTAGATTGCATACCTCTGAGATAATAAAGAGAAATTACTCTGCTAACTGTTAAATTAGCCACATTCCTCATAACCTCAGCAGTCCAAGCCAAGCTCAACACCAATGCAATTATAATCAATGGCGGTGCGTAGAAATTCAGCGACCCAATTACAGCTAATATCCAAAACGACATCCAACAAAATCCAGCACCGACCATCCAATAAGTAGGACGATTTAGATCAGGAAATTTGGATACGGGTTCAAGTGCCTTGATGAAAATCTTGGAGCAAAAACCAGTTTTATGCGAAACCCAACACGCATATAATCCGTTACCAATAGCAAACACAATAAAAAGAGCTCCAACTCCATCCGTTTCCGGCCTTTGGAAGCAAATTAAAAGAATCCCGGCTGATAGAGTCAAGATGAAAGAACTCCAAATTATGAAATGCACCATAATATTAGGCCATAATCTAACTGCCTTTTGCCATACAAATGCCAGTGTTATGCTAAGAAAAGAGGCAGCCTCAACTTGAGGCAAAAAATACTTCAACTCCCTCTTCTCTTCTCTTTGGGACTTACCTTCTTCTATTAGGCCTTGCACTCCTTTAAATATCATAAAACACACCAATCCAAAAGCCAGAACCATATGGACAAGGAACAAAAACAGGGAAATCCTGTTTGTGTATGATCTTGAATTCAGAGTTACCACTGATTGCTGTTCAAAAAACAAAAGTCCAAGAAAATATTTCCAATTAAAATTCAGGAAAACTATGTAAGCAATGCAGGGGCACCTAAAGTCCTAGGCAAAATGTTGTCTAAAGGTCCCATATTTAGATATAAAATTTTTTGACTAATGCCCCCAAATTACTCGAGCCGCCTCTGTGTAAACGTGTGCTATAAAAACTTACTTGTGGGGTAGGCGTAGAGCGAGGCTGCTGCAAAGGAGGAGGAGGAGGAGGAGGTGGAGGAGGAGGCTGAGGCGGCTGAGAAGGGCGAGGGGGCTGATGAGAAGGAGAAGCAAATCTTGTTGCATTATTCATTACAAGTCTTAAAGGATTTGTATTGCTCAATCTTCGCATTCTCGACATGTGAACTTCTTCTGGAGCCTGATTTTGAACTTCTGGTTTTTGAATATTCATCTCACCTTTCTCCAAATCCTTCAATTCGTCTTCTTTTTGCCCTTTTTCCTCCATTTCTTCTTCACGCACTGATTCTTCTTCATTTTCTATATGCACCACCTATACATCACAACCGCATAAATAAGCAAAACTTCAAGAATAAGTAATTATGAAAAAATTAAGCAGGTGGGGTGAAGGGGTTCACTTACAGGTTCTGCAGCACCCATTATCTGCGGCGATTGTGGTGGCGCGTAAGTGTCACGAGGGTGATAGTGGTGGTGGGGGACGTTAGATTTTGTATCTAATTGTTGTTGGGTGATGCAATAGACTCCTACCAAACCACTGCTTCCACCACATTCTTTTTACGTCTTACCTTACCTCTGGAAATCCAACATTTGTACACTGCACTAAGTGCCACTAAGCCCTAGTTTGTCAATCATTTAAAATTTTAAATTATTTGCTAGAGTAACATTCTTCTCCATACATTTATACAATAAAATATTTTACTCATGAACCAATAAAATTTCATTACAGTTTAATCACACATTCTCCATCAATCTACTATTTTATAATACTTTACAAGAAGTTAATGGCTCTCAAACATGCCTAAATGACATCTCGTCACACGCTCCAATAGAATATGTTCATTTTGTCAGTTTTTTTTACTGAATTAATTTCACCTACTGTGACTGAATTTTATGTTAAATTTCAAACTGATAATTAAAGTAATTTTATTTCGTCAATAAGGCCAAAAAAAAAATGGTGCCATTTAGGATTTTTCATTGTTTTTCTGATCGAGTGTCCTTCAGTCTTACTGTCATAAATTCTAATGATTATTATTATTGTAAGAAAGTTACTTTGATAACCGATTTGAAATTTATTACAAATTTTAGGGCTTGTTTGTTTTTTATTTTTTGATTCTACAGTAAATCAATTCTCATTTTCAACCACACATTCTTTCAATAAAATAATATTTTTCATCACATCAATAATTTTTTCTTCTTTTTCCACCACACATTTTCCATCATATCACTATTCAAACAACAATTCTTCTCTCAAAAATTTCTACCAAACAAGCACTTAGTGACCGTTGATAAAATTAATCTTTTTTTTTTTTGATGTATTTCATTAGTAGGCTTGACCGCTGAGAAGTAATTGCATGGGTAGGGGTCCAGGGGATTTTATTGTGTTGAAAGGCACACGTGAGAATTGTGGTCAGATTTGGAGATTGGAAGAATTATACTTTAAAGGGGGAATTTGCTGTAAAGTTATATAGAATACAAAAGGCGCAGAATTTTGTGATGCCCATTATTTCATTTTCCGTGGGAAAGATACCATGTGATGGACTCTAATGCATATTCGATATTAGCTTTGATTTAAATTTAAAAAAGAAAATTTAAATTGATGGAATATATTGTCGAGGATCTCATAAAATGTGTGATAAAAATTAATTGTTAACTCGAATTTTAATCTAACCTTTTAATTGAAACAAACAAAAGAATAATATTAAAACATTTTCTCACATTCTTACCTTTTATTTTACTGACAGGGAAAGAGACATAACGATGACGTAAGAGAAATAATATAATTTCACGTGAAAACTCAAAATAATTGATTCGCTACCAAGAAAAAGAAATTGAAATAAACTTCCCAAATTTAAGGCAATAATTAAAATCTAGATAATAACCTACTAGATAATGATGAAAATTAAAATTCATAATATTCAGCATTTTGAAATGTTATTAAATTCTCACATTTTCAGAGATCTAAATGATGAATTTGGCCGAATAGGTCAAACAATTTGGAGAACCGTTGAGTTTTGCTTATGGGCTATTTTCACTCAAAATTTGCCTCAACTTCTCCGAAAATAGGAAAATTATTTCTTTTGACATCGGTTTCACTTTTTCATGAAATCTTCTTATGTATTGCATCATTAAGGAGAGATATGTGCGTTGAATGAGATAAGAAAAATTAACTTAATTTGACAACGTAAATTTCCATATAATTTCACCCATAAAATACAGTTATGAAGCATCTCAAGAGTATGAAGAAATAAAGAAAACTTCAAATGAGATCTTGACAAAAACTATCTTTCGGACTGGTTATATAAAAAATAAAACAAAGTGCAAAGATATGTTGAGAGAAGTTATAGAGATTAATTCTTGATCAATGCAATCATCTTCTATTACATCTATTTGCTAGTCTAATGCTTTATGATCTTTGTCCTACGGAAAATATGAATGAATTAATCATAAATGCGGCCGAAAACAATTTAAAATCAAACTATTCAAGCAATCTTCTTGCAAGCTTTACTCTGATTTTATCAAAACTATAGTAAGTGAACACTTCAACATGAATCTGATTAGGTAAAATTTTGTTAATATAATCAATTCATTTCTAGGCGTAAGAATGACTAGACTTTCCATTCATTTAAATTATCAACGTATGCTTCAATATCTAGAAAAACAATTTAAAAAATGAATTCTTAATGCAAATATTCTCTCTCTGACTTTTTAAATATTTAGGTGTTGTCATTATTTTTCGGGAAAAATTGGAGCATTGGCCCCTCATGTATAGCTCTTCTAACAATTTAGTTATCTACCTTAAAAATGCACGTGTTGGTCCTAATGTTTTAATTTAGTTGTTGCTGTGAGAATCCAACTCCTAATTTCAAAAATCTACTAACAGTAGTGTTCAATTTTCTCCTTCTTAAATGTTGTAGATCAAACGGTAACAAGCACTATAGATTGGGAACCATTACTACAATTTTCCCTATTTTCGGCAAGTCATACATGATACATTCTTAACATCAAATATAGGAAAAATATCAGAAGAGGTCCCCACATTTTGACTGGTGTTGCGTCTTGGTCCTGTTTCTTCAAATCGTAGCAATTAAGTCTCCAATCTTTCATTTTTAGTAGCACTTAGGTCCTCATTGAACAGATTTATCCATTCCTTTAATTAAGTCGCTAAAATTCTATTGAAAAGATGATATTTACATTTTTCTTCAAACAAACAAAAAAGAATTTTACTATTTGTATACCGAGATTGACACTCTCTCACAAAAGGAAGGACACATCCAATAAAAAATTCGTGTATCCCCTATTGTAAGGGGGGTCGTACATTGGAGTGTCAACCCCTGTGTACATATAGCAAAACCCAACAAAAAATTATATACAAAACAAGAATGGAGAAAAAATAATCTGAAATTCTTCTTCTTATATCCATCCAACACCACCTAACACAACATACCTCTTGTCAAAATAACTAAAACTATCACTAATCACTTTGGCATGGGATTGTGGAAGATTTTTTTTTCTTCATTCATCATATTTATTTAATTTTTTTATTTATTTGAAGATAAGGGTGACACTGTCTTTTTAATTAAAATTTTAGCTCATTTCTGAGGATAAAATTGTCCACTAAGGACCAAAATTCTACTTAAATAAATCATTGAGGATGTCAAGCTCTGTCATGAAGAATGGGGATCAAGGTGCAATATATGTCAAAGTTTGGAGACATCCATGACTATTTTCCCTCAAATATGCAAAATATCCAAAAGATAAATATCAACCGAAACATGGTGCCCACAGCCACGAGAAAAGAAAAAAACAAAAAACAAACGAGAAAAAAGAAAATAAGACAAGTCACAAAAAGTATCAAAGTGGCTAAGTCCATTTGTTCATGGTAACCCAATAACAGATTTTTTTCTTAACATATCATGGCCATTCCCATATGCTCATTTTCTAAGCATACACCAACAATCCCAACTATTTCAATCTCCTCTTATCCTTGTACAAATTCACATCTCAAACCAATCAATTATGGCTGTCCTCCTGCCACAAGCCATTCTTCTTCAGTTTCCAGTCTTAATTTGGTCTCAGACGAAGCGTTAACAATGGCTACTACGGGTGTGGACGCTACTAGAGTGGCGTTGGAGTTTGCGAAGGAAATGGAAAAGATTTTCGATAACAAAGGGAACGAAAATGAGGTCGAGAGAGATTGGTGTAAAGGGGTTGCAGAGAGAAGGAAGAGAAGAAGAAAAAGAAGAAGGGACTTAGAATGTCTGGAGCATGAGAAAGATGAAAGGCTTGTATTTTTCAAGGCTGCCAAGAAGCAGTCAAACTTGACACCTAAAGAAGAGGCAAAGTTTTCTTGGTATCTTAAGGTAGGTATACCTCTAATTCTAAATTGATTGATATAAGTGGAGTCACTAAGTAGCTCAATTTGATAATTTGCTACTAATTATGGATGCGTTAAACTTCTATATAAAAAAATGTATGTGGTATGCACGTAAAAGGCGTTTTGAAGATTAAATTTAAATAAATAAATATTTCACCTCAATTAGTTTTCAAGTAATATCTTCAATACAATTACGTATTCAATATGCAATCTGTAATTCAAGCTTTAGTTTTTGGTTCAGAGATTAATTGTGCATATATGTATATATAATGCAATTACTCTGTGTAGATTAGCTGCTGTTTTTTTTTTTTTTTTTGGATGTACTTTCCCAGTCACCAAATTTTGAATTTCATCTGCTCTGCCTTAAGAGCTTAATGGCTACAAGTCGCATTTCTTGCAAATGCAACTAAAACTTATTCTCAATAAATTTAGGAGTGGCGACGTAAATCAAAATTTCCATCACTGTTCGGTTCTTTCCTCACGAAGTTTTACAAATAAAAAAACAGGAAAGAGAAAGGGTTGAAGCTGTGAGAAAGAAAATAGCAGACATGGGAGAAGAAGAATTAACCTCAAGTCAATGGGCTAAGGCTGCAGGAATCACTCAGCAAAGGCTTGAATATATTTTATGTAAAGGGAGAGAATCACAGGAACGAATTTGCAGATGTTATCAGAGACTTGTTATATCAGTTGCTAGATCTTATCAAGGAAAAGGGTTGAGCTTGAAAGATTTAATTCAGGTCCCTAATATAATTTCAAACATTAACTATGATGTTAGAATTTTTGTATTGATTATTAAAATTATTCTACAATCTTGCAGGAAGGAAGAATTGGGCTGATTCGAGGGGCGATAAGATTTAACCCGAAGAGGGGCTGTAAGTTATCCACATATGCTTACTGGTGGATTAGGCAAGCTATTAGCAGAGCCATAGCCAACAAATCAACGATTTTCCGATTGCCGGTAATTCATACATGGTTATTTTCATGAGTTGATTCCAAATGTCAATAGATTCAATACTTGATTAAATGTATTGTTCTATATATGGACATCTTTGAGTTTTAATGATTCATCTGCCATTTCAATTAAATTTTATGTGGGGGCAGAGTATTTATGCTAGTCATTGTAGAGTAAGTCCTAATCCCTCTTTGCAAGAATTTTAACATAAACGAAACAAATAAAGCACATATATTTATAGTGTTTCGTCCTCAATATGAGAGATAAGGAGATCTCCCGCCTCTAAATCCATGTCTAACCGAAAATGACACCCCTGAAAATCCTCTGTGTATATTTTGTTACGTAAGAGCGTGAAATTTAACAGGAAGCTCACAATCAGTGAATGGGTGTTAAGGTTTTCATGTGCAGGGCAGCATTAGTGAGCTGGTACCGAAGATTTGCGAGGCAAACAATGACTTAAGCCGAAGGCTACAGAGATATCCTACATATGATGAGATTGCAGCAGCCATTGACGTGGATGCTTCAATTATAAGAATTGCTCTTGAAAGAAACAGAAGTCCAATATCTCTGGATCAAGCTATAACCTCCCAAGGTTGCATGTCTTTGCAGGTTCTCTTACTCTTTTTCATCCTTTATTATTTTTATTTACTGCAATAGAGTGCTTGTTTATTCCATCAGTTATGAGAATGCCGCGAAAATTTTGTACAAGAGTTTGAAATGCCAAGTTTCGGCTTTAAAACAAGAACAAACTAAGTCTCATTCATACTAAATGTGGAGTTAGCTACATGAATCATTTTTCATGAATCCGTTCATTTCATTGCTAAGTAACTAGTTTAAAGACTTTTTCCTCACTTGTTCATCATCAATTTAAATAAATCTCGACAAGTAGTTGAAATTTGTTGATTGAAATCATTGTTTTACCATTTTTTAGGACATCATACCGGGGCCAAATGAAACGACACCAGGTGCAATGGAGAAGAAAGTGATGTTAAAAAGAGAAATGCAAAAGCTTCTTAACGTGTTGTGTGATAGAGAGGAAAATGTCTTAAGACTACACTATGGCCTTAATGGCTGCACTCCATGGTCCTTTGAAGAGATAGGAAATTTGTTTAAACTTTCAAGGGAGAGGATTCGGCAGATTAATAGCACTGCATTGTTTAAATTACAAAGGACTAGTGGGATAAATGATCTCAAATACTTGATATAGCTTTTATCCTAGCTCTGTCCCTGTGTACAAACTATATGATCACATCAAAATTCATTTACCATAATCTTCCTACCTTAAAAGTTTAGTTATTGTTGGATCATCGCCTAAAATTAAGCCTTAGATTTGGACTTGCACCAAGATCTAGAGAATAGAGGAAGAAATAAAAATCAAACACCAGATTTAGTCTGGAACTAGCTAGGTTCACGTAAAAATCCAGTCTATATCCTTGCTGAGCTCCACCTTTTGAACTCTTAGAACTAAAATTTTCTGGTTCGAGATTACAAAATACAAAGAGGCACAAAAATCTCAACTCAAGCACGATTTTTCCCAAGAACAGCACATATATTACAATCTTCCACAGAAAGCACTTTTCTACATGATCTCAATATACAAGTAGATAGAGGAAATTCACTATTGACATTTTATGTTAAAAGCACAGCCTAGAATTTAGAAGTCTTGAACTGAAGTCCGAAAGGCAGAGGCAACACTGCCAGCACATACATCAAAATCTTTCCTTTCATCTCCTGGGAAACAACCAACGTCGAAAAGTTGAATTTTGGAGCCAAAGGAGTGTAAGTGCCAGTTTAGTTTACCTATTGGAATAAAAAAGCGATATTTCCCTTTTGTATCACAAACGATATTCTAACAGTTATCCTACTACAAGTGTTAGAAAATAATATAACATATTCCATTTCTGAAAGTTTGAATTCCAGTGCATTAATTAATTAATCTGATCAGCCAAATCCTAACTATCCGATGAACTGTTGGAAATAAATAATTATGGGAAGATAGGCTAGAGATAAAACACAATAATTTCTCCAAAAGATATTTGTTTTCTATGGTTTGGCTCTATGAAATGTCTCAAGCACAAGGCCTTTTATAGGTACAAAGGGTCCCAAAATACATTGTATAAATTCAAGAGA